GGGACTAGTATGGGAAAAAGTGGTGGGACTAAGATGGGAAAATATATGAGACTAGTATGGGAAAAAGTGGTGGGACTAAGATGGGAAAATATATGGGACTATCATGGGAAAAAGTGGTGGGACTAAGATGGGAAAATGTAAAAGATTAATATGGGAAAAGGGACATCTACCACGACCCCTGTCTCAAATCCTACAACTCTAAAGCATAAAAGAAACAATTTTGGGATTTCTGTTGAAGTGAATGATAAGCCCTTTGCAGCTCAGTAATCATGTTATGATAAAATCACTGAGAACAAATGAATGAACATTTTGATTCCCATGTCTGAAATTTGAGAGATCGTAATACAACTGCATTTCGTAACACACTGGTTACACATTGTTTCATTCAGTTCTTTACGAGTACCTAAAAAGAATCACCAATTTAAAATAAAAACAAAGTTTGCTTTACAGGACGGGCACATGACCATTAGTTGCAAAAGGCCTATTCTCTTAGTCTAAGATCTTTCACTGACCATTTTTTGCAGTATCCACATGCCGTGGGAAAAAGCACTTTATTGGTTGCTGCCCTTCAGGCCAGGAATAATGCCAGAGTGGTTTTCTCAGGCTCTCTGGATTTCTTCAGCGATGAGTGAGTCTTGCATTCTGTTTATTTATGGGTGGTGTAGTGGTTTACCGCTCGCCTCTCACCACTGTGATCCAGGTTTGAGCCCTGGCTCAGACTGGATCATATATGAGTTGAGTTTGTTTGTTGTGTTGTTCTCTCCCTTGACACGAGGGTTTTCTCCAGGATCTCCGGTTTCCTCCCTCTGTAAATATAGAATGTAGTGGTAGTGCATGTGGAGGGAACCTCACGGAAGAGCCCCGCATGGGGAGTGGTAGTTGTAAAAAAATAAGTTTTTTATTGTCTTTAACATTTGCAGTTACTGTAAACAGAACACAATAGGCCTTCTAATAATGTAAACAGCCCTAATGGTTTTTCTTTTACTCAGATTTTTCCAAAGATCAGTGCAAAGCTCTAAAGCAGGATCTAAAGAGTAAGTCTCCTATTCAAATGTCTTCCTAGAATGACTCTAAATGTTTGGCTAAAATTAAAAGTTTTGAATAGTCCAGCTTTCAACTTTTCAACCATTTGATAAGTGTGGTAGGGCATGTGTTGTGAATCCATATTAAAGGATATGAAGCAAACTGCTATGGATGTAGTCTTCCATTTGCTGGGAGTGTTAAATGAAAATTTGGGATTATTTGTTGTGAGCTGGTCTTTAATTTTAACCCAAAGGGTTGGTTTTGATTCTTATTTGATTGAAAATATTTTTGGATCACTGCATTTGTAATGCTTAGTTAAGTGAATAGTAAGCTAGTAATTCAAAGTGCACAGCAATTAAAGTGCAAAAGGCTTTCAAGGTGACTGTTTGCTATAGGTATTTAGTAATTTACGTATAGGTCTGTGGTATTTTTTTATAGGCACTCCAGATCTGGAAATCAGCAGGTTGCACTAGCCTTGGCTAACTGGGTGTTTAAACAGCAAGGTGTGCTGCGTGTTGGTGAGGTAAAGCACCACAAAGTGGGAGAAAATTCACCTCCAGCAGCTTACACCATTGAAGAAAATGTCGTAAGTATTTATTACACTAAATTATTGTCCTTAAAAACTGAATTTGAACCACCTAGTTGTGATTTCATAGTCCGGGAAGAAAACAAACGGTACCYGGTCTTTTTGATCCACAGTCATTTTGATCCAGGTCATTTCAATCCATAATTGAAAAAGAAAAGTCTTTTCAATCCACTATCTATACCTGTTTGATCCACTTATGAACAGGTTCATATTAATGACAAGTAACGATTACTTTTTTGATATTTAACAATACTAGACCAATATTTGCACAGTTTCTTGGATTTCTCAGCTGTTTGCGACATTCATTCTGGAGTGTCCGCCATATTGGATTTAGTAGAGCAAGTAGTCTCTGGATGAGGCAAAGGGAGCCCAAGCTTTGTGTGAATATGTTTAGAAAGAACCCGCTTAGAAAACCTTGTCTGTTTATCATCAATCTTTGGGATTTCTAGGTTTTCATTTATTTTTGAGTTATGTTTTTATTTCCAACAATGCTTAAGTAAAAATCGTAGTTCTTTAATCTTAGTATGTGAGTGTAGTGCAGATATTTATCTTTATTGTGTTTTTGTTATTGTGCAGTGTGCAGTTATAAAGCACGCGGGAATAGGCAGAACACGAGAGAAGAGTTATAAGAAGCATGATGCATAGCGGAGTGCTTCTCGACACTTCTCAAGTGTTCTGCCAATGCCCAAGTGCTTTATAACTTCACAAAGCACACCAAACAAGTTTTTTATTTCTTTTGTGAAATATAAATTACATCAACCTTTATTTTAGATAGCAATGACACAACTTAAAGTGTGTGTGCATGCTGTGTGCTCTCATAAAGCATGCATTTCCAACCAATCAGAACTTGAGATTTATAACAGTTATTTTATAATATTAAATATAATTTCATTGTCATTTGACATTCCACAGTTCTACAGTATTCAAATCGAGGAGTTTTCCAATGGGGAATGGCAACCATTTAGAGCTAATGATGTTCAGTTGGAATTCTTCAGGATTGACCCGTTTATCAGGACAACACTGAATCGCTCAAGAGGTGAGATCATTTTCTGCATTACAACTTTTTCTGATAGTGTGATAATGAGTTTTCTTCCTATTTCTGTAGTATTTCATTACCAGTTAAATACCAGTTCAATACCAATGGCAGCAAATGATGAAAACCATAATATACTATGAGGACCTCATTGGGATGACTGTCCTTACCACGGTTTCTGATATGCTGTCCAAAATATAAGTCGTGTCATTTGCTTGGACAAACATTTATCATCATGATTCATTAATGATTTATATAGCACCCTTTCTATTTGGATAGAATTGAAGGTGCTTTACATTGAGTTCTGAATTTCGAATTGCTTTTTTTTAAAAAAAATACAATTTACCAGCATGAGAGATGGTTATCAAGAGATGTAGGCACTGAGGGTGGTCACTGCCAGGGTTTCTTTACGTCCTCAGTGATTCTTTTACTTTTAATGATGAAGTGTGGAGAGACAGGACCACCATTTAAAGTGGTCATCCAAGCCACTTGAAAGTCTAACCATTTGCAGATGCAATTACAAAGGCAGCACTTTCTCCTCAGTTATGTTAAGACCCTTAGTGTAACAAACCCAACCTCCCACACAAAAATCCTATGCTCAACCGAGAAACAACCAGTTGGCAGTTATCATTAACACTTATGTCTGCAAGTTTTGGGGAATTTGGGGAATTTGGGGAATTTGTCACATAGGCAAACCTCAGAACCTGTTCCATCTCGTTTAAACCATTAAGAAAGCATTTACCTATTCTGTTATTTTAGGATGTCACTTATCAGGTATAAGATATGCAATATGGTTGGTCAATGCCCAATGGTGATTTTTATAATATTGTGTTGATTTCAGAGGGTCTATTCACTGCTCAGTTTAAGCTACCAGATGTCTATGGTGTCTTCCAGTTCAAGGTTGAATACAACCGTGTTGGTTACTCATATTTAAGTAGTAAAACCCAGGTATGTTTCTTGTGTTTATAATAATGGCGACAAATTTTGTGACTCCATTATTTCTGACTTCCTGTTCTGTATGACCCTTGCTTTTCTATGGTATAATTTTGTCTTTCTTACTATTTCAGGTGTCTGTGCGTCCCAAGCAACACACACAGTATGAGCGTTTCATCCCATCAGCTTATCCATATTATGCTAGTGCCTTCTCCATGATGATTGGATTGTTTATATTTTCACTTGTTTTCCTACACCATCGTGAAGAAGGGAAGATGAAAGCAGACTAAATTCAGAGTATTCACAGGCAAAAGTGAAGTAGCTTATCAATTAAATTTTTTTGTGCAAAACATTTTTTCAAGAAGCTAATAAACTGTTTTGATTTAAGCCTGACTTTTATTGCATCCAGTATACTAGTTTTCCTACCTACATCATTTGTACAGGTTCAGCTGTCTAGCAAACACGGGGAAAAAAACAGATTTCCAAATTGGAAATTTGTTGGGAATTTCCTTGAATTCCCAATTCAAACACCAACGTTGGGATATAATGTTGGGAATTTCCTTCTAATACCCAATAGAAAAACAAAATTGGGATTTGATGTTGGGAATCTCAAAAAAAAAAAAACCCAAATAGGGAAACAAAATTGGGATTTGATGTTGGGAATTTTAAATGAATAAAATAAATAAATAAATAAATGGGATTTAGCAGTGGCATTTCTACAGAGAAGCTATTCATCCACTGTAATTCCAATTGGAATTTTTAGAAGTTGATTTTTGCAGAGGAAGGAAATCTGGAGAGCCAGGAAAACCCTCGAAGCACAGGAGAGAACCAACAAACAACTCTACTCACATACGACACCGAGCTCAGCAGGACTTGAACTCGGGCTGCATTCTCACCGCTACGCCACCTGTGCTTCCCAATTCCCAATATCAAACCAACATAGGGATTTCAAGTTGGGAATCTATCAAATTCCCAAGATAGAGATTACAAAATCCCCAACAAACTAACATTAGGAATCAGTGCCGCGTTCCCAATTGGATGGGAATTCGTTGGGAATTCAAGGAAATTCCCAATTTGGGAATCCGTTTTTTTTCCCTGTGAAACCATTTTTTAAGTTCTATCCCTGGATAACTAACACAGCTGAGCTGCATTGGCAGCGAAAGAGGATTACTATTACCAAGTCTTCATATGACCTAAGAAATTTCTGCAATCTGATTGGCTGAAAGGAGTATTATTTCAGCATAATACAAAATACATCGTGCCTTCTCATAGGTACTTCAACAATATCAAAAGCAAAAATAACTTGGATAAATCCTCATTTTTGAAAAATGGCAAAAAGATTTCCTTTCACCTAATATATTTAAATTCACAAACAAACCATAAATGTCAAACAGGAACAAATAACAAACAAGAGTATTTGGAGGACAGAACATTTCAAATTCCACTTGTGGTATTTTATGCCAGGTAACGCTCCAAACCAATGTTATTAAGGAGTCAAACTAGCAAACTAAAATTAATTTGGGGTTTGTTGCAGACCATTTATTTATTGGTTGTGGGTTAATGTGGCTTAATAGGCCTTTTGCAACAACAGGTTTACAT